CCATAACTTTCCACATGCAAATTTTTGTGGACAGGTCAAGTCAGAGTCCAGGTTAAAGCCCTACAGGTTATATATTAGCCAGTAGGTTTACAGCATTACAGAGTTATGATGTAGACTGAATAATAGATCCCATTATTCAGTCTAAAAAAATCTGGTGATTGCATGGGTTATACCGGCCTGTAATCAGGTATGTGCTGTAGAGGGAGGGGGGGAGAAGGGAGCATGAGCATGACAGAACAATTTTACCTTAACTGAAGTTAGACGGAAAACACCTGAACAATCTCAAGAAGTTATCACCTCAAAAGGCCTTAAATTTCAGACAAAAGAAAAAAAGAGGCAAATGAAGCAATTTTTGAGTCTTTTTTTGATTTACCTTTGCTTTAGTTTCCATCGTCGTCCTCACTTTGTCATGTTCACAGAGCTGTATGCAGATCGGTGTGTGTCTGTGTGTGTGTGTCCCTGCCTCTCTCTTAACAGGGTGTGACCAAGCTTTTTCAGCAACAGCCTGTCAGCGTCATCAGGCAGAGCCTCAAAACAAGAAGTTCTGTTGCGGGAGCTGCTAGATTGGTTTTACATTCCTTGACTTCTGAACCTTATCCATGCTACCTCTCCTTTGGGGAATCCTGTCCCCCCGCTCATTCCGTGGACTTTGGTAACCTGTTTCTACCTTCCAACCATCTTTTGGTGAGACCTTCCTCTTTGAATCTCCTCACTACTTCCCTGCTCACCTTCCTGAAACTCTGTGTCCAAACTCTTTCTTTACAACTCATTGCTCAATTACTTGTAGCATATTGCAGGGCTGCAATTGCATATTGCAGCCCTGCAATATGCATTGAAGGGCTGCAATATGCATTGAAGGGCTGCAAGTAATTGCAAGGAAATTGTATTCCAAATATGGTAACTCTTTGACAGCTTAGGTTGACACAGGATGTTACCAGTTGTGAAAGCGTCTGCACATTGTCTAGAAACTTCCTTAATAGGAAGTCACATCTTGCAGAAGTATAAAAACCACAGCAGACACATCAGTAAATAAATGGTAAAAATGATCATTTCCCTATCACACTGTACTATTTTCAAAAAGTCTCTTAAACTTTGCTTTGATGTTCTCAAGGTTAGGGTCCTCAATGTGACCGTCTCAGATTTGAGTCCCGGTCTCTGGACCTTTGCCCATTCCCTAATGGGCAAAGGTCAACTTTGCATTATTTGCCCAACCTGCTTTCTCATCAGATCACTGCTAGTTGGGCCCTTAGAGCCAAGAAACTACTTCAAAAAATCATTAAAAACAAAAAAAAAAAGCATTTAAGTCCAGATTTTCTGGACTCGGTGTCTAAAAGCTACATCCAATATATTCAGGTAATTGTTTTTACTGAGAGAATGCGCATTACTTACCTGCTGATTCAAAAGCAGATACCAGAAATGAGCCTTCGTAATAATTTTGGGGCCAATATGGATAATAAAACCCAGCTGCATTGTGCTTAAATGTCTTTAAAATCATAAAATCTGAAATTTTAGAAACATGAGTTTGGAAAAGTGTATTTTGATGTCCAACAGGCCTTCACGGAAACCTACTGTAAACCAAGGTGTATTTTTATTGTCACTCAATAAACAGAAAAGGTTGATCCAGGACTTTGTTCACTCACTTCATGGGACAATTTTATTTGGAGGAAGTAGTCACACATGCACTCACCAACCAATGCAACTGTGGCATGACTAGCTAACATAACCAAAGTAGAAGTGAATTTGTTCATTGCAGTAGGTGGGATTTAGAAGTGTTGTCACATGAAGACTTAAAGACTTTTAAGCTGTTTAGTTTCTCGGGTCCAGTGACTTCATTTGGCTGTTTCTCCTATTTCACTTTTCCCAGACAAAACAGTGGAGTAAAACCCAGATGTTTTGGGCCTTAATATTAACCATAATGTCATAAAAACCTTAAAATTTAGAAAATTAAGTGTGTTCATTGATATTTATGTTCAACAGGCCTCTAGGTAAACATATTGAAAACTCAATGGACAAATTAGTGTTTTTACTCTTCCTTAAGTGGATGTATTGTCAAACTTTAGGTTTATGGATCAATTCCTTCCTGTTTTCAGAAATACAATCATTAGCACAGATCATCATAAATCAACTTTAAGGAACTTTTTCAAGCACACAATGATCACACAATCAGTAAAACAAGCAAAATATGCGAAGCAGGAGAATAAGAGTGAGATTATGCCCCACCCTGTAGGGAAATTTGTGTTGTGCAGCAGGTACTGAAGTATATTGTGCTGGGCTGGGCTGGAATTATTCTGGCTTAACATTCTCCACCCACTTCAAAATAAGAGCACCAATACCAACGTCTAAATACTTGAAGAAATTGCAGCAGTAGATAACCAAAACTTCATCACAGATGTCAAACTTTATTCAACTGAAAGTTTACAAAACAACCAACTAAATTAAAGTAGGCGAAGCTAAATATGCTAAACTTTTTCAAGCTCAGTAAAGATACTAAAACTAAAAATGTTGCATCACTATCAGTGCATTAGTGGAAGTGTGCCTACCACTGAGAATCAGTTGTATTGGCCAGGCACTGACCAGGTCAATGTAGCTGATGCTGATAGGAAACCTGCAGTCGGTCCACCAGGGGGCGTTTGATGACCACCAGGATTCAATGACCAAAGACATCAGGGTGTCAGGCCTGCAGTCGTTCAATCCTGTGATGTGTTTCTTCCCCAAGTTGAGCTTCGGACAAGTTTGTTCATCTTCAAATCAAAATAATTACATTCCAAGCTATGTCTGAAACCAGAGAAAATATTTGGTGCAAGCCATTACAAAAAGGTTCATAAAATTTGTCTAAAAAATTGGAAATGCCACATGTGACAGGCAGAGCAATAATACAGTGTAGGCTATAAAGTTTTGAATTGCCGGTTCATGTAATGAGCAATTTTTACACCAACAGATTCATTCAGCTTCAATAACATTTCATGTCATCGTTCAAGCAGGACAGTGACCCCAAGCAAACAGCAAGCCTGGTGAAATGCCCGACCCCAGGGTGAAATGCCCGACCCCAGGGTGAAATGCCCAACCCCAGGGTGAAATGCCCGACCCCAGGGAATGATTCAAACCAAAGTTCTAACTGCTGGTCAACAACTGAGCCAACAGTGTCAAATAAATTCAGTTCTGTGCACAGAGTTTCTGTTCATAAAAGATAATAGAGGTTTATATTGTTTCAAAAAAATGTAAATAAAGCATGAAATGTCTAATTAATCTATTTATAGTAACGATGAGTGTGTGTTACATCTACCTCTTGTCCTTGTATTGTCACTGTTAAACTCATGAACTCTGGTGCCATCTAGTGATCGTAAGGCTGTAGTAACAAAGAGGCCTTGGCAGTTCTTTTCATTTCACCTCCCAATGGATGTGAAGGTTTAAACAAATAAATACAAAACAATCTAAACAATTGGCTTCATAGTTAATAATTACTGGGTTACACATAACATTTGTAACAATACTCAGACAAATAAATTGTTCATTTTATGTGATGGAGTAAGTTATTTAACTTACTATGCACAGAATGTTTTTTAAGTGTTTCTTTTTACAGACTGGTGTAGAAATGAACCATAATCAATGGTCAGTAGATTACACATTACTACATAGTTATGTCCAGGTGACCACTAGATGGCAGCACAGTTAATCAGTTTAACAATGGCACAGCGATCAGACAGGGTCTGAAAAGGAAAGTGGTCTGAATTCTTCATAGCCAATGTTCCATTATAAATATCTGTTTTTAGGTGGAGCAGAGTTTGCTCATTCACGGCTCCCCAAACACACCAGACTTCTAGACAAACTACAGTTTGATTAAAGCAGACTAAGCAGAGCTGGTGTTGAACACATGTCTATCAGCATTCCGCTGCCACAGCCCTCCGCTCCGTGCTCCTGTATTGCCAGTCAGTCAGTTCCATTTTGTTTGCCAACAAGCTGGACAGTGTAGTTGGAGGCACAACCACTTGTAATGGACCAACACTTGGACCATAGACGGAGGGGGCAAACAACACAAACTGTCAATATACGCAGATGATATTCTTTTGCTTTTAAGGGACCCAAATCATTTGATCCCACACTTCATGAAGGTAATACAATCTTAACACTGCTGCAGCTCCTTCGGTCACAGCACAAAGTGGCCATAACTGAAATGGTGGTCAAACAGCTCAACTATGCACTTATGATGTTACCAGGTACAGTGCTAGCTGTTTATTTTTTAGTCAATATGATGCTCTGGTCAAAGTGAGAAGATATTAAGCTCTGCGATGGACTGGTGACCTGTCCAGGGTGTACCCCGCCTCTCCCCTGTAGACCGCTGGAAATGAGCAGCATAGTGTGAGTTTCTGATTGTCTTAGAGCTTCACCGTTGCAAGAGGCCAAACCAAACCTATAACGGGCACACACACACACACACACATGTTTGTTTTGCTATCTTTGTGGGGACTTTCCATTGACTTCCATTCATTTCTACAGCTTAAACCTTACCTTTACCCTTTTCCTAACCCTAACCATCACATACCTAACCCTAACCCTAACCAAAACTCAATTCATACCTTAGCCCTAACTCTGACCCCTGACCCAAAAACAGGGTTTCCCCTTGTGGGGACCAGGCTCCGGTCCCCACGAGGAGCAATTGGTCCCCACAATGTAGTATATGTCAGGAAAATCATCCCCACAAGGTATTACAAACAAACGCACACACACACACATTCTAATTTATTAAATATGACTGAAGTCATATAAAGGTGTATGTGGTATCCATTTTACAGTCATATTCAATTAAACTGAATGTTACTGTAAAGCTTATATATAGTTTAGTATTTCAGTAACTCAGGCCACCAAGTAAAATCCATTGTATTTGTTGATTTGACAGAAACTGTTGAGTCAGAGTTTCGGGGTTTTGTGTGGGGTTTCCATTTCCTTCCACCTGTTCAGTTTCTATACCAGATGGAGCCTTGGAGCTGCTGTCACCAGAGGGCGGATCTGTTAATTATCATGCACACCTGTATCTGTGTGTGATAATCTGTCATTTTCCTGGCTTTAAGAGGAGTGAGACGTCATCCCTTCGTCACCTGGGTGTTCACACAGTTTGCCTTATCTGTGTTTTCTCTAGTTCTTCGTAGATTGTTTTTGTGCTTACGCCTCTGATCTCATTCCACGGTTCTCACGGCAAAACCTGAGCTGCACTTCCAGTGTCCTTCGGGTTTCTGTCAAGAGTCTGAAGATCGTCTGTTCTTTTCCCTTGTTCCAGCCTCCATGACTGACGTCCTACTAGATAGATAGATAGATTGTTCAATGGTTTCTGCCTCCCATTAACATTGATGACTGGATCTGGTTCTACAATAAAACAAAGGCGTTAGTTATATTTAGGTCCCAGTCGTTTGCATTCTGATCTAATTTTACTTCCTTACACATCATGACTTTCATTTTGGACTTGTTTGTAATCTGCCATCGTA